AGCACCAGTGCAGGCAGCTGTGTTGCTGAGCTTTACTGGTCAAACTGGGCTCTGTCGCTGAATGATGTGCAGGGGTTTGTGGGCACCAGTTGGCTCCTCCAAAGGCAGCACAGTCTGAGCTCTGTGGGTGTCTCTCGTGTGCATCCTGTGCCAAATCACCCTTTCAGAGGCTGTGTTTGAATCAATTATAATAGTTAATTGCTTCTCAGCCTAATGTGCAGCTTCTCCCAAAGGAAACTGAGGAGTAGGTATAAAATGACACACATGAGCTCCAGGGAGCAGAGGAGATTGCAGGAGGAAATCTTCAAAAATGAGGCCATCCCCTTGAGGAATAAAACACAACTGTGTCTTCTTGGAGAAGGAATCTATCAGCAAAGGAGCTCCCAGTGAAGACAAATGGAAACTCCATATAAAGTTTAAGTAAAGGTCAGGCACAGCAAGCAGCAGGTATGCAGGGGTGTCTCATGCACTGTTGTCTTCCAAGGGGAAGCTGATCAGCTTCTTGAAAAATCTTCTTGAAAATTACCTTTCACACACTCTGACTCTTAGAGGTGATGCTCAGATTGGCACTGAGGATCACACGTGTGCTGCTTTTCAGTCTTTCCCCACCTGGATTTTCTTGCTGATGTGCAAAGCAAGAGGTTTTTGCCTGGTGCTGGGTGATGAAGTGGGTCCAATTGGTGGCCCTGGTGCTGTGAGCTGTGGCTGGGCTGGGGGTGCCTGTGGGGACTTTGATCCCATCAGCTACACCAAGGTCGTGATGCTTTGCACAGAACCTGATACAGTGCTCACTACCCTTTTTTTGGGAATAATTTTGCCTTAGCCCAGTGGTCCTGCTTTCTGTGGACACCCATGCTGGAGCAGTGTAGGGCTCTGCATCCTTACAGATTATTGAAGCAGGCTTGGTGGTGCATCTGGTCCCCAGCTGGTCGTGGTGCATCATTTCCCTGAAGCCATAAACATGTTCCCAGCAGTCCTCCAGCACCTCTTACCCTAGATTAAAAGGGAAGTGTTAAAGTGGGCTGAGAATGCTACTCCATTAGCCCTGTCCCTCTGCTCCTCTCAAATCAATGTTCCCCCTGAAGCAGAGCCTTTCCATAGCATGTGGCTCCTGGGGGTGTCAGGAACCTGCTGCTTCCCCCCTGGGGTGCCAGCTGGTGGGTCCTGGGGATTCGGGGGGTCCCCAAGAGCTCTGCCTGACTGGTGGGCACTGCTCACCCTGCCAGTGGAACAAAGAAATGGGGCAGTGGGTAGTGGTTGGTGGGAGGCAAAGTGTTCCCCTCGTGGCCTGGGTCACGCTCGCGTGGAGGTGGCTAATGAAATCGGGTAATTAGTGAGTTTGTTAATGAGCTGGGGCAGGGAGATTTAGATTCAGCTGTTAAAGTTTTGATGGCTTTGGGGGACTGTAAAAACTCAGCACCTTGGGAAGATGTTGCTTGCTCTGTGTCCCCTTGCAGCCGTTTTTCCGGCCGACTGGCAGAGTCTCCTAAAACCAAACAAAACCCGACCCCATCACCTAGAAACTACACTGCCATTTGATTTCCTCCTTCATTTTTTGTGGCATGATGTTTCAAGCTGTTGCCTGGTCTGGGACTGTGTGTGAGACACGAAATAAGAGGCTGCACAGCTCTTGCACTGACTGTACTTTAGATAAGGGCTCGTGTCTGTTTACGATCCCTCCGGTAGCGCCCGGAGCCTGGGGAGAGGAGCCAGCAGCTCCATCCTGCTGATTTGCTTTGAATTTCACGTTTGCAGTCATGTGGCAGGAGGCAAGCACACATTCCCACTGCCACTCAAGACTAGTTTAGCACACACAGGTAGATATGCTGCCTTCCTTTTGCTCTCCCTCTTGCGGGCATCTCACCTTGCCAGGGATCTATCTGGCTGCTCTGGCTCCGCTGCTCCTGCCAAGGGAAGTGGTGCCTGGAAAGCTGAAGCATCTCACCTTTTTTACCTTCCCAAGATCTGAGGCTTGTGTTGTCCTTTCTCCAGCTGCCCTACAGTGGCATTTTCTGAACTTATAAAAAAATATTATATATATATAGCTTGCTTTAAAATAGCAGAGATTAGTAAGAGATTGGGGAAACTGGGTTCATGTGTCCCTGAGCTGGCAGGGGGGATGCAAAAAGGGGGGAAGATGGAAACAGGATTTCTGAGCTGTTGTTCTAGGACTGCTTGTGGCCCAGCAGACTTTGGCAGATGGTTTGTGAAATCCTCCTCTTTCCCCCAAAAGCACATGTGATGCTGCCCCTGCAAATGAGCAGGCAATCTGTTACTTGTGCATTCTCTCACTTCCTTTAAAGCTAAAATCTCAGCTGGGTTTTTGTTTGGCTAAAATGTGACAATGATTCCTCTGTGACTTTGTGAGATGGGCTGAAGGGTGATTTTTATTTATTTTATTTTTCCTTGAAAAGGGTGTTTGGATCTTGAATGAATAAATGAGTGAAAACTTGGATGCACTGCTCAGACTTTGCAGCTTCTACCCATGAAGATTTCATCTGGTGTCCCGTGCCAGGGCTAGCAAGATCCTGTTTGTGGCTCCATCCCTGGCAGGAGCCTGTGGTACCTGGGTGCAGAGCAGGGCTGCAAGGATGTAACTGGTGGAGCTGGGAGCAGAGGGGCTGGGATCCCTCTGGTGCCTGTGGGAGATGCAGCAGCTTTGCTGCTGGAAGTGCCACTGCTGGTGCTGTCACTCAGGACCTCCCCTCGTGTTCAGTGTCTCAGCATCCTTGGGGTAAAAAAGCCTTGATCCTGGACTTGCTCTTCTTTCGGGGTTCAGGAGGCTTGGCCAGCTGAAAGGCAGGCTTTGGAAAGGGAAAGGGAGGCTTTTCACAGAACTGAGAAGAATCAAAGGGAGTCATTGCAAGTGGCAGCTTAAAATACCCAACCTGTTCCTTGCTTCTCTCCTTTATGTGCCTGTGCCCAGTGTGGGTGCAGCCACTGCCTGTCCTGTGCCCTCTGGCCTGCTGTGTTTGCACACCTGGTGTTTTCCTCAGGCAGCTTTGGGGCAGGTTTCATCTCTGGCCTCCACGTGGGCTTGGAGGGCAGCTCTGGGGTGTGAGGTCTGCAAACCCCTGTGCATCCTGCTCTTCTGCTACCAGCCTGCCTGCAGCAGAGACAGTGGCACCAGCCAGCACAGAGGGATGTGTATGGGATGTGCAGATCAATTTTCTGCAGTGGTGGGGTCTCAGGTGTCCCAAATGCCTTTGTACAGGTCTCCTGCTGCCCTGTGTTTTCCTTCTCGTCCTGGCTGCCTGCACTGGGGGATTTCATGGGTGCTAAAGAAAAACCAATAAGATAAAGGAAATGGCCCAAAACACGGTGTTTTTTGCCTTCCTCCCTCTGTTTCTTAAGCCTGCCATGTAATTTAGGGAGGGAGTAGAGATACATTCTCCTGCAGGATTTGGCTTTGGCAAGGTGGAGAGGAAACTAGGCCTAGGGTGGGCAGCAGAGAAAAAAACCAACAGGTAAGATGCTGCAGAAACTGCTCCCCTGGCAGCTGCAGGAGGAGCCTCTTTGGCAGAGGCAACTGCAGATGCAGAAGGGGCTGGTGACAGCATCTCTTCCCACCACACTGAGAACCAGAAGTGGCAGTGCCCAGTTCCCAGGAGGCTTCTCTTTTCCTCTGCCTTGTATGGCAGCCTGAGCAAACAAACTGTGCTGCTCCTGATAATGAAAGAGGTGACATTACTAATTTATTTGCCCACTCAAATACAGGATGTAATAGAACAGAATTAATCTCTCCTCTTTACACATCAGATGCTTGTAGCCTTGGGTGGCGGGTGGGCTTTTAGCCTCTGGTGTGTGGCTAATGCAGAGTTTAGCTGCCTGCTTGGTTCATGTGGCATGAAGGTAAATGAGGTGCTGCAGGGAACAGGCATTTTATGGGTACGTGGCTGGTGCTGAGCCTGGATGCAGGTGGTGGGATGAGGCCCAATGGAAGAGGGGTTGGTGGTAGCTCTGGAGCCTTCGTGGTCACTGACAGTTGGCCAAGCCCCCCTTTACCCCTCAGTGTGGGCAAATCCTGCAGAATAGCATGAGGGGCTCCAAAAGTGAGTTTCCCAGTGGCATCTGGTCTGTGGGGGAACAGTTGGAGCTTGGTGGTCTCCTAGAGAAGGAGGGGGCAGCAGATCTACCCCCAGACTGGGCTGCTGGCTGAGTCTGGGGACACTGGCTGCACAGGAGAGCTTTAATGAGGCTTTTTGGATTCCTTCCCTCGCTGCTACTGCCGGTTACCGAATCATCTGTGTGCTAATGAGCTAATTTGTGTCATTAACAAAGCCCTGTTAATCAAGACCTCCCATGGCATGACTGGGCTGTTGCCATAATGCTTTATTTTAGGCCTTGATTTTTTTAAATGAGTACTGACGTGCAGGAGGCTCTTCCCTGGGCACCTGCAGTGCAGGCCCTGTGGGTGCTGAGCTGCCTGGAGATGCAGAACTGGCCTCTTAAGATTTACCTTTGGAGATGCAGAACTGGCCTCTCAAGATTTACCTTTGGAGGGGGGTGTTACCTACAAGCCTGGCTGGGGCAGGGGAGCTCAGTGCCCAGAGATGCTGTGGCTCTCAGCAAGGAAGGAGTGGGGAGCACCTCAATCCCCCTCCTGCCAGGAGGAGTTGAACCCATCACAGGGAGCTCTGCTGGTCATTCCTGCAGCTCAGGGATTTTGACAATCATGCTTCGATGCCCACAAGTCTTGCCTGAAGTTTCCTGCCCTCCCTCCCCCAGGGGACACTGATACCAGGGCAGGGTTGGGTTTGTTTCTGTGAGCTATGGGGGAAATGGGGATGAAATGCCCAGAAGTCTTGCCTGAAGTTTCCTGCTCTCCCTTCCCCAGGGGACACTGATACCAGGGCAGGGGTTGGTTTCTGTGAGCTATGGGGGAAATGGGGATGAGGGGAATAACCAGCTGACATGCAGGGGCCAGGGTGCATCTCAGCTCTTCTCCTGCAGCACTGCTGGCCCCAGGGTTCCCTCACCCTGCTGTGTTTGCTCCCCAGCTCAGCCGGCTGTGCAGCCACGCTCAGCACAGGCAGCACCGCTCCGCTCCCTACCCTGAGGACCTTCTGGTGGGCAAGAACCCCCTGCAGCTGCCTCTCCCTGAGCAGGAGGAGACTTTGTCAAGCAGGAGAAGGTGAGCATACCTGGGCTGGGCACGGGGCTGCAGGAGCAGTGCCTGTATGGGATGGTCCTGTGGAAGCAGGTGAAAAAGCTCCTTATTTCCCTCACCCATAAACCTGCAGCTGCTTTGGACTCTGAGCATCAGAGCTGCTGGCTCTGAGGTCTAGGGAGGTGCCACGTGCCTTCCCACCTGGTGCATCTGGCTCGTTATTGAACTTGTAAAACTACCTCTGGCTTTTCAGTTTTGTTTTGCACGGGGTGTTGTTTTTTTTTGCAACTCATCAGGCCCCAGGTCCCTGCATCCCCCTCGCCCACCCCCCAGCCCTGCTGTGCTGCCACAGCCACGCGTGTGGGTGGGAGCTGTTGCTTCAGCCTGGGATGGGAGTAACCCCGTGTGTAGGTAAGGGGGAAGGAAGGAATTTCGCTCAGCGCAGCCTTTCCCAGCAGCTGGGGAAGGGGGAAGGATCTGTGCCCCAGCCTTTCCCAGCAGCTGGGGAAGGGGAAGGATCTGTGCCCCAGCCTTTCCCAGCAGCTGGGGCAGGGGAAGGATCTGTGCCCCAGCCTTTCCCAGCAGCTGGGGCAGGGGAAGGATCTGTGCCCCAGCCTTTCCCAGCAGCTGGGGCATGGGAAGGATCTG